TGCTAGAAACCCCAGTCTTCCCCACAGGAACCCTTAACACATTTATGTGCATCAAGCCATTTAAAAAAGATTAATTTATTCAAACTCCAGACCAATGGAGGTGTGTGACTAGAGGAGAGAGAGAATTTATTTATTTAATGCAATGAAATATGAAGAGATAAGGGCTGCCTAAGGTAGTCAGTGGAAATAAAAACCAAGAGGCACTCAAGTTAAAAATTATCAGTTAGAATACCTACATGTGAGGACCAGGTCCTCGGTGGGAGTGGTTTTGTTCAATGAAAAGATGTCATGAAAAGCAGTGTGTTAAGGATGAAGCAGCACCCACATGTCATGAAACCGGTAGGCTGGCCGTCCGTGGGCAATGTTGGCTCCAAGGCATGTTACTGCACCAGTTCTTCCCTTCTTCACTTGAATTATTTTTAGGATGAAATAGACTTTCAATCACATTTTTCTTGTGGCATTTAAGGTCTGGGCTCCCTTTTCCCCATTCAGGAAAGTTCTGTTTTGGCCTGTTGTATTTAATGACCTTCTGGGTAATCTTTTGTTTTATTCAAGAATTCTACAGCTGAAAAGTTCATAAAACACTGACCTAAGATAGTGAAAGGACCGAAGTTTTGCCTCTCTGAAGCTGCTTTTTTGGGATACTGATTTTAAATTGTTTATTGAAAAACTAAAGACTTAGAAAGAAACCTTAACCACCCCCGCCCTTTTCTGCCCAAGAGATTCAGACAGAAACCTGATTTGAGAAGGGAGCCTTGGCTTAATCTCCTTAAGAATCCTCACCCTAGCGTTAGTCAGGAAGACTCCAGGCTTGTTCGCTAGATACCCTCACCCGCTGTGTCCCATTGTTTCCGAGTTGCCTACAGAGACCATGGCTGCCCGTGTTCCCCTCTCCCTCAACTACCCGTAAATCACCCATTCTCACACCTAAAATCTGAGACTCCACCTCATACCCTCCCATGTTTCTGTTGTCCAAAAATATCGTATATACCCAGTGTTGCCTGTCTTTGGAATTTTCACAACTATGTGAATTTCCCATGCACATGTATTAAAAACTAGAGTTTTGTTCTGTTAATCTGCCTTTGTTAATTTTATTATTAGCTCAGCCTAGAAAAACATAGAAGTTGAGAGGAAAAGTATTTATGTATTTTTTTAGCCCCTCATCACATATATGACATTACAGTGGCTTGACCTTGTAAATATCCATTAATTTTATACATAGCAGGATCTCTCAACCAAAACACTACTGACACATTGGGTTGGATATGTCTTTGTTGTGGGGACTGTCCTGTGTATTGTAGGATGTTTAACAGTATCCCTGGCCTCTACCCACTATATGCTAGTGGCATCCCTCCCAGATCCTCTAGTCACAATAATCAAAAATGTCTCCAGACATTGGCAAAAGTACCTGGCGGTGCTGGGGGGAGCAAAACCCTCCCCGCTTCCTGTTGAGAACTACTGATACGGAGGACTTACAGGACCAATCCTAAGTTCAGACTCTAATCTATTTGTGGCCTGTTGTTGTTTTATACCAGCTTCTCCTTTCTCTTCTCCTACTATGGCCATGTTAAACATTAGCTAGCACTGTATTATCACTGGATTTTTTCCTTCATGGGAAAGAAGAAAAACGAAGCAGGCTAGAGAGCCAACACGAGTTTGGGTATTTGCCCACCATACTTCTAAATTAATAGGAGAAAAGGATTGCTTAGTTACCTAAAATAAAAGGCATAAGAAGTTTCTAGGTGCCCATTTCCGTACCTGAACATATAATCTATTTCTCTAGATACATACTTAAAAAAAAAAAAGCTGTATATAAATAAGTATAAATCCCAACAAAGAAAAAATTTGATTTAGAAGTGATTAGCTTGAACAAAACAGTTAAAATTTCAATACAAGTTATGCTACCGTGGAGAGTCTAAAAAAATATAAACACTTTTCCACCCACTTTCTAAGTGCTTCTGGCTGGGCTAATAACAAAATTAATAGAGACAGATGAACAGGAAGGAATAAAAGTATAATTCATGCACATGGGGGATTCCAAAGACATGATGAATCCAGGAAAATTCAAAAGACAGTGAGGCAACATTGGGTATGTAAGATATTTTTGGAAAAAGGTGAAAAGGGGGGTGGGTAACGGATTATTAGATTTCAGAAGTGAGAATGGGCAATTTACAGGTAGTTGAGGGAGACAAAACACCCAAGGCAGAAAAATCCGTGCTAGGTGACTCAGAAACAATGGACACAGCAGGCATGGGGCTAACTGGCACCTGCCTGAAGTTCTCTTCTTTACCATACTTAATTCAAATGAGGCTAAGGGGAATGTCTTAAGATCTCCTTCCTGGAGCTGTTCTCTGAATCTCTTGGCAGGAAAGGGGGGAGGGCATCAAAGGTTCCTTCTGGGCCTTTTGTTTCTTAAAAAACGGCTTAAAATTTATACTCTCAAAAGCAGCTTCAGGGTGGCAGAATCTTGGTCCCTTCACTACCATCAGGCCCTTTCATCAATGGATTTAAATCCCTTTACAGTGTTGGTCAAGTCCTGATACGCAGAGAAAGCAAGGTGGATATAGAGGAGTTATACTTTCTAAAGATTCTCAATTCTGGATTGGAGTTCCAACGCTCAGCTTTCTAAAATGCCTAAAGTGTCACCGGTTCAGCGTAATCTGAAATTTATAACACTCTAGGCCAGAAAGGTATCCTCTTAAGTAATATGTTTAGATCACATTTTGACTGGTAGTTTCTTAGTCTCTCATTAGCCATCACTTATTTTTCATTATTTAAGGCTTCTTTATTCCTAGAGATCTTCCTTCAGGCTTTACTTTCGTGTTATCTATATTTTGGTATTTATACAATATTTCATTTCTCTGATTTTGCCCTCTTCACGAGCTATTCTATGGCTAACCTCATCTGCTTCGGGGTGATGTGAAAGAGCAGCTCCTGAGATCATTCAAAGGCCCCTGGTGACACTATACTGCCAAGACAGTGGCAACATCACCATGAACTTCCCTGACTCTTCAATGACGCCAAGATAGGACACAGTTTGTGGCCTTTGGGTCCATGTGCCCGTAGCCAACCATTCTTAAAGGTTGTTGTGTTACATGTTTTTTGGAACTAAACATATGATTTGCTATTAACACTGTTTCTTTTAATAATGAGTTTCCTTCTGAAGAGAATATTTGTACTTCCAGGATTTAGAGAGTGCAAATTCTTCTGGAGCAGTAACAATATTGAGACCATAGTAGTATACACACAAAAAAATGGAAAATCCAGTAACTGTCACAAATAAGTTCAGGAATTCTACAGAAAATGATGTATCTGCAAACTTTATAATACTATAATCTTTTATATACTGGCATATTCATAAAGAAGATAAACATACAGGATGCAGCATATAGAAGATAAATTAAAATGCAAGTAATGGATAAGGCAGGAATGTTTTTAAATAATTTCCTTTGTTATAACACTATTCTATTCAACTCTATGGATAAGTAAATATTTGTTACCTATACTTTAAGCTCTTTTAGGAAATAACACTACCAATAGAAAAGGGGAGTGTGATGATTTCTAAATACATTTTTCATATAAATATTTGCTGAAAATATTCAGGATGTTACAAATCATATATTAGGCCTATTAACTAAAACTACATGCTTTATTAGCACAACCAGTTCCTAGTTTCAATTGTAGAGAACACATTAACTCATTCATGGATTTCTAGCATTGGATACAAACAGGTGCTATGTTTTCCTAATGCTAATTTGGGCCAGTGAGCATAAAAGTCACCAGATTTGTTTCAAAGTGTTTTCTTTGAGGAGGAAATGCTAGAAGAACACAAAGAAAACCTTAAAACAGCAGAGAAACATTTATCTATATAAAAGGGGGTCAACTATCCCTATAAGTAGTACAAATTTTTTATTAAAGTGTAATACAAAAGAGACAAAATTAAATAGCTTAACTAAAGTTAATCTATCCTTCCTTGAGTCCTTTACCTTTCAGTATTAAAAAGAAGCATCTTAAGCAAAATAAATTGTCCAAAGTAAAAAATTCAAAACTGCTAAATAGTCTCATGGAAACAAATGACACTATAGCTTTATTTCTAGATTCGTAAAATGTTTGGCATTATTTTTCAAAACAAATAAACGACAAAGGTTATATCATATTTATTTTTTAGATTAACCTTCCAAACTAAGTAACTTTCCTCCTGTGAAGGACGAATGAATACATTTAAGGAAGTTGCACTACTCAAAAACTAAAAGGAAAATAAAGCAACAGTGAACAACTGTGCTCTCAATAGCTAATATATAAACTACCAAATTAAAATTCATAATGTAAAAACACCGTCGCATATATTAATGCTAACTTTTATATTTAAATTTATCACTTAGCCAGCTGTTATCCCCAAACATAGGTCTTACTCAGCTGAGCTAAAGAAGAGAACGAAGCAGCACCAGGATGCACAGAAGGCTGCTCAAACAGAATCCCAGAATTACAGAGAAAGGCTGAGGAACAGAGGGATGAGCAACAAAGTCCAGTATCCGTTCGTTGAAACCCAAGTATTCAAAGGAATGAAATTATAAATTATCAATCTACCAATTTATTTATACTTCATCTAAGCCATTTCAGTAACCTTCATGGGCTTCATTAAGACCCTTTTGGAAAGATGATCCATAGTAAATGTTGTTAACTCATCAGTGGGAGGTTGATTTTGCAAAACAACTATTCTCCTGTCTGCCCTAACACACTTTTTATAAGCAAAGGTCTATAAAAATGGTATATTATGTATTTATGTAAGAATGGGGGAGGGAATGATCAATCTACTTTTTCAATCTATTTGCCTTCACAAAGCAGGATTCAGCATGTAAGACAAGTTCTACATGGAAGAATTAAATCTTTTCTCCATCTACCTTAATACTTATTTTAATACATTTTTGAAAATTGTGGAATGAAATAAGCTATGGTACATACAATACTGGTAAGGCAATTAAGAAACGTTATTAACTCACCATTTTTTAGGTTTTGACAATGGTTTGTATTTGCTGTATTTTACACGCCATTCAAGAACTTCTTTACAGCGCCGGCATACTCCATCATGAAGTTTTTCATTAATTTTCTTAAAAACAAAAAGAAAAGCAAATTGAGAATTTCACCTGTGAGCCAGCATTACAAACACCATGAAAAAGGCATACAAGAAATGCTATTTTTTTTTAAATAGCAACCTAATTTTAATCTGTGTTAACATTTTATGATTATGTATTTTCACATACATTACTCAGTCTGGTTCTTTACAAACCAAAGATTCTTAACTGGTGTGGCTCAGAATCGTCTCTAGGAAACGGTTTAACCTGCTGGCAGACGGATTTTGCAGAAGTCCTCACCATTGATTATGATGTGTACATATGTTAAAACTAAAACTGTAGAGTTACAATAGGTGCATTTTACTGTAAGTTATACCTCAATAAAAATGCAGTAATAAAGAAGAAAATCTGCCTCATATTTTAAGACTACTCTTTTGACAATTCAAATCTTACAACTGAGAACTAAGAAGTTAGACTTAGACATGAGATGGTCCGAAATTGTCTGCAGGGGAGAATACAGACTATGAACGCTGAGAAAGGAGAGCCAGGGAGAAGCAGCTGCAAGCGAGAAGGGATGTAACCATTCAATTTAATCCTTTTGTATTCTCATGTAAAAAAAAAAAATGTTTTAGAAAAGTTATCCTGCAATGTCTTTATTAAAATAAATAAATTCTAATGGAGAAAAGTAACTTTGCTAATCTGGTTACTTAAACACAGAAAATAAATATGCACATGTAAATATCTGTGGTGAGAAAAGGGCTGTAGGAGGGGGAAACCCCATATTTAAAATTATTCACTTGATTCAGGACCCAGAGTAAGTATTTTCACTAAGTACTCTGAGAAATCTCTAACTTACTTGCAGTGGAAGCCTGGACTTTACTTACTGTTAGAATAATAAGTAGAGGACATTTTAAGTTTTCTTTGCTTTTTTCATTTCTCAAGAAGAAAAAGAAAAAAAGCATCACAAAACCCACAGATTCTTTGGAAGGTTATTTGATTCTGAGTTTAAAAAAAGTATAATGTTTAGTGATCACCTGAAAAAAATTTCCCAACAGTGCTTGCTACTCTTTAAAGTTCTAAACAAGAAGGCAAAATAATTTTACAAAACTTTTATTCAGAGAGAAAACATATCAAGGGTATTTTCAAGCACCATAAATTAAGCTGTGAATATATTATGTTTGAATTTAACTGTGTTGAAAACATAATTCTGTTACTTATGAACTACGTATGAGTATTTCTTTCTTCTCGATCTAGATGGAATCCCTGGGAAAATAAATTCCACATGCCAGTATATTCCTTCTTACTTACTTTGGTCTGCTAACTATGCCCAGAGGAAGGAAATCTGTGCTTGGTATCAAACTCCTCTTCTTACGCTAAAAAATACCCAGAACTAAAGTTCACATTTCATCATTTGTTCTCACTGCCCTCCCGTTGCCTACAGTATCTTACTAGAAGCATTACTTCTATTTTCTTAAGTCTAACAATGGGAACAAGTTAATGAATCAACTATAATATAAACTTTCTAACTAGAATATTCTTAGAATGCAGACCATTTCTTTACCTGCAGTTTTATTATATCTAACACTGTTAATGAGGAAGCATTATTTGGTCTCTTGTTTGTTTCTGTATCAGATTTCTGACCAGTTCATCTTGATTTACAAAGCTGCACATAGTTTTGAAACTGGTTTCTTTAGGTGGATCGACAGTAGAACAAAACAGATCTTTGTGGGAACTTGTCCTGTGAGTGATGTGTGAAGCAGTATAAATGAAGATGCTATACAGAGCTCACATGACTAACAGGCACTACTAAAACTCAGACTTGATTTTCATGTGTTAAGAAATGAATGGAAGTCAAAATGAGTATAGTACTTTCACTTAAAAATAGTTTCAGGAAGAGAGAAAATTGTACATCTTGTTTACTGTATTTTGGCAAACTAGAAAAAGTGAATTCCAGAGATGGGAGCAATGAAAGCCAAGTCTTAGTTCTAGGAATCCTTCTGCCTGGGGCAAAAAAAACATGGCAATGATGTTTACAACTAACACTGTTAGGGCAATTAATTTTGGCATACTCTTCATGGTAGAAGATTCCATGGAAATGGATTTTCAACAGCAGTTAGAATTGGAATTTTACTTGAGAATTTAATTTAAAAAATGTATTTATTTATTTTTAGAGAGAGGGAGAGAGAGAAACATCAATTTGTTCTTCCACTTATTGATATATTCATTGGGTTGGTTCACATACGTGCCTTGACTGGGGATCAAACACTCAATCTTGGCATATCAGGACAACACTCTAATCAACTGAGCTACTCAGCCAGGGCTAGAAAATTTTATTTTTTAAACTTGATTTTTTTTTTTTTTTGTTTAATTAAGGAAGGGAAATAAAATACACTGTTTCTCTAATGTTAGCATTTCTAAAAAAAATTATGATATGCAAAGAAATTCTGGTGAAAGATTGTATTAGTCAGTCTTGAATGATATTCAAGATATTTGAATGATATTCAAATTCCTTTTCCCTCACAACAGTGTCACCCTCCTGTTAAAGCAGTGGTCCCCAACCTTTTTGGCACCAGAGACCTGTTTCATGGAAGGCTGCTTTCCCACTGACAGGGGTGGGAGGATGGATTCTGGATGACTGAAGCACAGTACCCTCAAGCTCACCTCCTGCTGTGCCGCCCCCGTTCCTAACAGGCCCGGCTGGTACAGGGCAGCTCGTGGCCCAGAGGTTGGGGACCCCTGTGGTAAAAGATACTTTATATTAAGATTATGAAGCTTAAGATTTAAGTATATCCAAATATATATTCAAAAGCTAGTTCTGTAAGTACAAAATCTTGAAAGACCATTTAATTTAACTACCTACTCTCCAGATCTTTAAAAGAAAAAGATCTTCAGTGGAAGATTCCATTGAACTTAAGAAATCTTAAAAAAGATTTAGTTAAATCTTTAGTTATCAAGTGAATACTTACTTTTTAAACATTAGATAAACTTAAGATGTATCAAAAGACACTCCTACTTAATATATATGCAGTCTTAAAGATGTCTTAGCCATCATTAATTCATACAACATATTTTATAGTAAATGTTCTCTCTGCTTTAAATATTCTGCTGCCAGACAATTCACTGTTGGTAAAATAATGCAACAACTCCAAAAAGAAATTGGGTGAGGACTTCAACTCCCAAGAAGATAGCAGGAGTAACCTGTAAACATAACATCTGTATCAACATGCTGATGCTGAAAAATATTTTATATAATATAAAGGTATCATTTAACAGAAGGATAATACTATTATAGAGGAAAAGGAATTTGAATACCGTTCAAAAGTAATATAATCTGTCATTAGGATTTTTTGGTACATCATAACTCAAATACTAAAAGTAAAACAATGGTGTATTTTACTTCCTTCATTAAACTGAAAAAAAAAAAGATTAAAAAAAATGAAGTTTTAAGGAAAATGCCATTTCTTTTTTTTAAAGTTTAAAAAAATTTAAAAGATTTTATTTTATTTTTTATTCTTAGAGAGAGGGAAAAGGAGGGAGAGAAACATCCATGTGAGAGAGAAACATCCTTCAGTTGCCTCTCGCAGGCCCCTAACCTGGGCTACCGTCCAGGTGTATGCCCTGACTAGGAATCAAACCGGTCACCAGTTTGTAGGCCAGTATTCAATCCACTGAACCTCACTAGCCAGGGCAGGAAACTGCCAATTCTAACTGCTGTTGAAAATCCATTTCCATGTAATTCCCTACATCAAACCTCCCCACAAAATTGGGTATTTTATATCTCATTTTATCATATTAAATGTATAGATTTTAAAATTTTCTACTAACAGCCCCTTAGTCTAAATTTGGTTACAGGATAAGAGTCTGGATTTGGGAACAACAACTTATCTGACTGTCTTTCAAATCAATAGCTACATTATTTTAAATCCCTTTAATATGGCTAGCACACTGCTGGGCAGAAAGTATCTTACAAAAATACAAGCAAAAAAATATGTGAAGGAATTAGATTGGAGGGTCGAGGGGGAATGAGGGTAGGTAGAGAAAATTACAAAGTAGTAGTAAGGAGTGCTGACGGGAAGTGCACTTGCTAGAGATGGGCCACAAGTGAGGTTTGAACTTTCTGACAGCCAGTAAAATACAAGTTCTGCTCCTACCTAATTCAATGTCTGTAACATGCCAAAATCCGGTTTCTCAGAAACAGCACTGTTCTTTTTTTTTCTTTTTTCTGAGATCTTATTTATTTATTTATAGAGAGAGGGGAGGGGAGAGAGAAAGAGAGGGAGAGAAACACTGATTGGTTGCCTATCCGACCACACCGGTCAGGGCAACAGCACAACTTTTGTTGTTACTGAAACCAAGGTTTCATCTTTTCTAAAAAGGATACCCACCATACAATATAGTAAGCAATGGTCTCAAAAACATTCTTACAATGCAAAAGCATTTCACAGGGCTGTTTTCTGTCCCAGTTCTCAAAGTATATGTTATATAATGCCAAACAGGGTGGTTAAAAAAAAAAAGTTATTCTCAAGGGTATACAATGTAGATATAGCTGCCTGATATTCACAGGATATACAGCAATGCACTGCAAATCAGAAGGACACCGGCAATAACTAGTATTCAACTTAGTCTAAAAATATTCTCCTCTATTATGAAAAATTTCAAACATGCACAAAAGTTAAAACAATAATACTAATGCATAGCCATATATACATTGTCTAGAGGCGGCTAAAACATTTTACCTCTTTGCTTTTTATGTGTTATGTGCATATAAAGTAAGTTGCAGACATCAAGACATCTCTCTCATCTTTTCATCATACATATCCTACAAGTATTTTCTCTTATTTAACCACAATACCATCACCACACCTCAGAAAAATGAAAAATAACTCCAATGTAGCCAGTCTACATTGACATTTTCTCAACTGCTTCCCTTGCCCCCCAAATCAGTGTTCAAATACTATTTGACTATTACTTTTCTTGTGCTCTAGAAGGGTCTCCTCTATTACACTGTGTTATTTTTTTAAGATTTTATTTATTT